GCGTTCCTGCCTTGGTTGATATAGTCGTATTTGAATAATTGGACATAAAAGCAGGAAAATATGAAGCTCGATAAAGTCCTACCTTAATTGCATAGCTTAACATTATTAAGACGAAATAGGTAATTTTCTAGTCAAAACTTCAAATGAAAATTCGTTAACCTACATAACGCTTCCTTGCCCTTTTACTTTAGTTTCATCAGAAACTCTTATTCAAAACAACAGCCTGTACAGGCGATCTCCATGATTAACGGTGTTGGGGCGAAATCTAAATTTCTGATTGCTGGATTGTTTATGTCTGATCTGTACACGAACCGACTTCGGCATCTCTTCGCTAAAAATCAAACCGATTTCAAACAACTCCACGAAAATCACAGCACAGCAACCCTGAAAGCCACGGTTGGCACTGAAGTGGTAAACAAGCACGATCGATGCAGGGCGCGAGCAAAAGATTCAGAGATCGTAATTCAGCTGTCAACGAGAAACCTGACAATGTATCTACTATCAATAACATGTATTGATGATATAGTCAAAGAGTGGCAAAGCAAGACCTTACCTTTCCTGAATGGGCTTGTCGATATTCAAGTTGAGTCGAGTCAGATCTCGACCCGCGAAAAACGTTAGGCGGAGCACGCACGCCAGCAATGACGGTATCCGCTGTCAACACCGTACTTTCAATGCATCACGCGTGACTTTTGACTTGAAGGAAATTTAGTAAAGGTTTTTAGGATTATAGGGTAGCCTTTCAAAAAAAATCATGGCTCTAAGGAAAGCAAAAATGATTTTTCTCATGGTAGTTAATGTGGTAACAGATTTTGACCCAACAAACATTCTCCAGAAAACGAAATCATAAGCATGTGATTCAAAATTTAGGAGTTATGTGACATGTAACGCAAAGTTTTCCGTACCCTCAGGGTTAGAAATATTTCCGTCACTCATGATTAAAAACTAGAAACACCTCTCATTTTCCTGTTAGTAACATAGCTACAAACATCTTATCTCAAAAGAGGAAAAATTTGTTTCAATTTGGAAGGTTGCCAGATTTGTAACTTTTTCAAAGAGCTAGTCGTACACGTCTTAGATGTATTAGTCAAGAGATGTTCTTCGCCATTACCATGATTTCGGTCTGTTTCAGTGTACATTAATTAAGTAATGTACAAAAATAAGAGTCCCTTTCTTTCCACTGGCGTCAAGCAGAAATTGTAAGTTGTAACTAAGTTGCCGTGGTACCTTGCCTTTCTCTCAAAGAGCCGTGCGTTGACACATCACATAGAATATTCAGTTTATCTGATTATACCTTTATCCCTTTAAAAGTTGCTAGTTGTTGAAACAATTTGATATCAAATGATCAAGAATCTTAGCATAAACACTAGCCATTCAACTGAGGGAAAAAGCAGTCTTTCTTTGGGATGAATAAGGATACCTCGACGATATGATAATCCAGGTTATTGTTAAACTGATTTTTTTACACAAACGTTGAACTGCTGGGGAGAAAGCCGATGTAACCTCACCAGTCGGAGATGTAACAAAGAATTTTGCTACTAAACTCTAAAAAAAGCTTTATAGTCCTTTATAACAATAACTTCGTCTTGTATAGCTGTCACTAATTCTTGCTACTCTCAGCGTACACCTACAATTCCATACTTGACCACCAATCGATCGAGAGAAGAATTTGAATACTTTGATTAGAGACGACTGCGCCATACAATCGATAACAACCAAAACACATCTGGTCGGTAAGAAAGAAAAGACAGAAAACCCCCATGATCAGAAAACATTCATAATGAAGCTTATGCGGAAACAGCCGTTCGCAGAATTCGCAAGATGAAAATATAGAACAAAATAGACGAACTTAGAAATACTCACAAACATCTCGTGCGAGATCCAGTGTTGTAAAACAAGTACCAAACTAATCCCAGCAGCCAATCGCAACAAAGGAAATTGGCCCACGGAGCCGATGAAACCTCAAAGTGAAAATACAGTAAGCGAACTGCACGTAAACCGAAACAACGCGAGTGATGAAGCCGCGAGTTTATTAGTTTTACATCATAAAAAGAAGTGTACGTTTTCTAGACACATTCAGTGCGAAGTAAGGGCTGGGTCGCATTAGAACGAATTCCAATATTTTCAAAATTTTCGCTACAAAAATGTCGTCATTTCTAAGTGTGGTGATGGTCGCATCAAATAAGTTTCAACCAAAACTTTGCTGATGGGCTGATAAGACAATCACAAACTCATCTTGCTCTTTAGAGAAACCAAAACATCTCGCGCGAATTAGTAGGCAAGAAAGAATCGTAATTTCGCGGCTTTGGAGATTTTAGAAATTCGTTTTTTAGTCTCAGAAAAACAACATGGCAATTTTTGTTGTGTCTGCGCATTATCGCCTGATTTTTTGCATTTCAGTTTACGATGACGTAGAAACTAGGGAACGTAATCATTTTACGCTACTTGTTGACAAATATATATTAACCACAAACAAAATAAGCTCTAGGACGACCCGGCCCTAAACAAACAGCAACGAAACTCCGATTACTATAAACATTAAATTGAAAATTTGCCGAGTTGGACGAAACTCCTTAGTATTGGCTTCGCTGAGAAAAAAATTCCTTTTAACAAGTAATGAAGATTATACTTTCTCTCTGTATGATAAATGTTTTATCCTAGTAAACAGTTTCCCATCATATCCTATTGATAGTTGTGCAAGACGAAATTAATTAAAATGCCCTAGAGCTCCACAGATTTGTGTCGCTTACTGAACTAACACTAAATCATTGGGAAATTTGAAAAACATCTTCATCAACTAAAGAAAGGATTTCCCCAGTAAATACTTATACAGTAAAATGACCGCTTGGGAGCATCTTCCTATGGACCAAGCGCTATATAAATAAAAAAAATAAATAAGACTTAGTAAAGTAAAGAAACGAAACTCTTGGTCAAAGTTTAGAAGTTTATTTCGTGACATTCTATTTCATTCCATTTGGTTAAAAAGAAGAAAAAAAAACATTTTCTTTATTCTTCTAGTCAAGTTCTTCACTGTTATGGTCACACTGAAGCAGCTACTGGGTTGAAACGAACGGCGATGAAAGCCAAAAACCGCTGAAAGGATCAGTCGTTCTCCTTTCTGTTTGTTTACCTTAGAAAAAGGTTTCTTACGGTTCTGAAAATATGGTAGCCTAGTCCCTCAATCCAAGATAGTTGATGATCATAACTAATATATTTATTTTATAAGTGTAAAATGTTGATAAAAGAAGTCAATCTGAAGAAATCAAATTGACAGTAAAAGTAATTAAATTTCATCAAACGTCGACGCTTTAATTAATTTCAATTATTTTATTTCATAAAACTGTTCAAAATATTGAAGCCAAAGTCAAGCCTACAGATCTCAAAACAGCCCCACAAAAATCTTGACGGTGTTTGATAACTGAACGTCACATACATAACAAGAAAGATTTTCTCAGATTCTACACTTTATTCCCTAATGGCTACCAGTTTATTCAATGCATCCTGATAATTCTATTTGTGCGATAAATTGTTTTGTCGTGTACATATGCTTACGAAGGCCAATAATATACATATCTATTGTAACAAACTGTGAGTTAAGGTTTAATTATGGTTGATTTAAGACCATTCCTTCTGTCTCAGTTCTACTCTTCTAATCTTGCCACTGACTGTTTTGGGTAAGTTCTCCACAAACTCAATCTATAAGGTAATTCAGGAAATAAATACATTAAAAGATTTGTTTGATAAAGTATACCCCTTTTTCACGACTAAAATGCTAATCTCTTATGTTAGTGTAAATTAGCCTTTCTGGCCTTGACAATATCTTTAAAAACAATGTAATTTATTTTGAAAGCGAGACTTAGGGGTGATATGCATGCATGCAAACCAAAGGATAGTAATCATTTGTCCCGTTGTGGAAAGGTCTGTTTTCTCCAATATAATTTCCTCTTTTTGAGGAACATCACGAAGTCGTCCGACGGTTCTTTTTCAATAATCCTTACTACAATCCTAATTAAAATCCACCAACTCCAAAACCAATCCTTATAGTTTCTCAAAAGACCTACAACTGTCCGTCCTAATTCAACGCCCTATCTGAATTTCAGCAATTGGCAAGTCTTCAACATTTCACATGCTCGTCATTCAAAGTTGAATTCCAAGGAAAGCCAGTTTGAATTCATTTCTTCATTTCAAGATCGATCTAACCGTCGACAGATTACCTTTCTCGGATACTTGTAGGGTGCTGTTATTTCTTTCACATGGTCTTGTAATTCTTTGACCAATGATTCCTTGTCTCCAGTAAAACGAGGCGAGAGAATAACAAAAGCTTTCACGATCTTAACATAAAGGAAAAAAAAATTTTAATAAGGAAATTAATAAAAAAAATCCTCCCTGAAACTGACAATTTTAAGCTTTCATTTGGGCAGATTATTTAAAGACGTTTTCACAGAGTATATACTCTTCAATTTGATTAGCTCGGTTCTAAAACGATAAAACATCAATAAGACAAAGCTAATTTTTTTTAAGAGCACCACATTTCTAAAGTCTGCCAAGATACTCAGTTTTAAAACAATAACTTGTTTATTGGGGTTTCTATGCAGAGGGGGTCTGGGTGGGAATCAAAGCCAGCGAAATGCCTCTAACTGAAGATTTGGTACTAGTAAGTAAGAAACAAGGCCTTTATTCTTGTGTCTCCCTATCAAAGCCCATATCTCACCTCCCCCCTTAGGGTATCGGGACTACTAACAACCGCTGCCTCTGCGACTGCTTGGTGTTCTATCAAGGCGTTTTCAACCTCAAATGGACCTATTCGATAGCTGGAAAAATTAAAAAAAAATGCACAAATAAACAAGCAGAAAACGAAAATTATAAAACGGAAAACAAAACAAAAACAAAACAAAAACAAAAAAACAAAAAAAAAACAAAAAAAAAAGAAAACAAATAAATAGGCGTCAACTAATTTTTAAATTCTTCTACCGTGCGAATGTAACTTGTACTTTTGCAAAATACCTCTGCAATCGATAAAAGATCAGACTGCTAACATCTTAACTTTGTAAACAGCAAATGGAGCGTGATGCTTCACGACTGTTCTTAGAAACTTGAAAGGTATCCGACGAGTTTCTTTGCCGAGACGAGACGAAACGCCGTGTCAAACCAGCCACGAGCTTTTATGTCACCGGTATTGACAATTTTTATTTCATTCTCTGATCATATTCGTTCGGAATTTTAGGACCGTAACGAGTAGTACGCTTCACAAACGGTATACCTTTTCTTCTTTTGTACTTTCTTCAACCGTGTTAATTTTGAAGTATCAATATCTTTCTCGGCACGGATTTAAAATCTGAAAATACTTTTATTTTATGCTTTATAGAATTTATAGAAAACAGATTTCCTTATCGCGGGCGAAATTATAAATCGATTGTTTTCACCTGATTTTGAATTCAACATTGAATCATTTTATTTATTTATTATTACCTTGAGTAAGGCAGAAAGTAGTTCAAAGTCTTTGTTGAAATCCTAATCAGGCTTAGTGTGAAAAAATTACCTCTTTGTAATTTAAGTAGTAAAATCACCAAACTCATTTGCTCGTTTATCTACCTATTCTTTTCGAATCTTTTCCTGAGCTACCTTTTGCCTTCTTATTTATTTACTCGTTTATTATTGATGGAAACGAAAATGTTCAAACCACATTATCAGCTACCAACCCCGCTGAGAGTATGACGTCATCAGATCGACCAACGAAATAAAAGTATCCATCTTTGTCTTTGTAAGCTTTATCACCTGAAGTATAACGTTTATGATGTTATCAAAACTACAGATACAGTTAGACTAGGTTTACACTAGAGGAGAGTTTTCCAGATTCGTAAATGTTTCCGGATTCATCAATTTTGGAGTATTCGGATTCGTAGGCGTTTACACTGAAAGGATATTCGGATTCCTGACCGTTTACACACAACGACAACTCCGGGAACATTCGAAATGGAATGGTCACCAAGCCTAGTGTTGTTTCGTCGTTCGATCGACAAAGTGAAAATACCTCCGCCCAAAAAGGCTAGAGTAGATCCAGATGCCACTGAGGCAAATTTGAGCTGGACAGGTGCCAAGCCATCTAACGTAGTCGGCGATTAAGTGTGGCTGACGTTAATCTTCCTTGCAATAATAATTTGCGTTTCCTCATAAA